TATTACTCATCAAGGCATAATTCCTGGTCACGGATTGATATGGTATGGATAACATCTAAGATGATAAATGATTTATTAGACTGTGAAATAATGGCTAATACATTTGCAGATCATAGTCCTCTCTTGTTGACCTTAAAAGATGAACAAAAAAAAAGTAGATGTGCTATGAATTTAAGACTTCTTCGCAATCAGGTATTTATTAAAAGAACTAAGGAAGAGATTTTGGACTTCTTTAAAAGAAATATGACACTAGAGACACCGATCGAAGTAGTATGGGATGCATTTAAAGCTTATATCAGAGGTTGGTTCATCAACCAGAATGCATGGAAAAAGAAGCAAGACAAAAAGAAATATGTGCCCTTAGTGGAACAAATTAAGTTGGAAGAAGCCAAAGTCCTAAAATTAAATTAAACTTCCTTCATCATAAAATGAATATACTCCTAAACAGTGAAATAGCAAGGAAAATCGAATTTACTAAACAATACTATTTTGAAAATATAAATAAACCCAATAGATGGTTATCTTATAAGCTTCGGCAAGAAAGAGAAAAACGCTTCATTATAAAATTAAGAAATGAAAAAGGTGAAGAAAAATATAAGATACAAGAACTCAGAAATATAGTGGAAAGATACTATAAAGAGTTATACTATCAAGAACACCAGGACGAGCATCAGATCCTAGAATATTTAGAAAAAGGAAATTACACTAAATTTAATGAACAGCATAAGAAGATTCTGAATGATCCAATCACAATGTGTGAGATGGTAGAAGCAATTAAGAAGCAAAAAAAGAAAAAGGCAACTGGTCCAGATGGTATAACGGTGGAATTTTATCAGATTTTTCAAGAACAAATAGATGCTCCTTTAAAAGAATTCTTCAAAAAATAGGGAAAGCAGAAAAGACACTAGATTCATGGAACCATGCACTAATTACGTTAATACATAAACCTAATTCTGAGGGAAGTGATATTAAAAAGTATAGACATATACCCCTCCTAAATGCAGACTACAAAATATTTGCTAGTATATTAGCTCACAGACTGAAAAAGGTTTTGTCTCAAACTATACATCAAGACCAGATGGGCTTCCTACCAAAGAGACAAATGAAAAATAATTTGCGGGTAGTTATTGACGTATTAGAATATTATGAATCTCACCCTGAAAAAGAGAATGTTCTAATGTTTCTTGATGCCGAAAAAGCTTTTGATAACCTATCGTGGAACTTTTTGCTGCAGAAACTAGACTTATTGGACTGTGGATACCAATTTTTAACAATGATTAAGGCAATCTATAAAACCAAATTTGCTAAAGTCCTAGTAAATGGAGATGTAACTAATAACATAGAAATACAGAAAGGATCGAGATAAGATTGTCCATTATCTCCACTATTGTTTATTTTTGCATTGGAATCTCTGAACAATTCTATACGAGGTAATGACCAGATATATGGATTAAAAATAAGAGGGGAGGAATTCAAATTGCTGGCACTCATGGATGATCTTTTATTTATTGTGGAGAATCCTATAACATCTATTAACCTTCTGATAGAAACAATTAAAACTTATGGTAGAGTAGCTGGCCTTAAAATAAAGAAAACTAAGTTTTTGTCCAAAAATTGCCTACCGGATACTGTACAAGAAATTCAAAAAATAACGTCAATGGAAATAGTGAAAAAATTGAAATATTTGGGTATAAATCTAACTAACAAATGTAGTTCTTTAATAGATGATAATTACTATGAGTTGTTAGAAGAAATTAAAAACAATATTTCGAGATGGAAGGACATACCTTTATCCATTATGGGCAAAATTGCAGTGATAAAGATGAATATATTACCAAGATTTTTATTCTTAGCCCAAGATATTCCTATACTGAAAAGATCACATTTTTTGTAGAAATAGATAGAATGACTAGAAAATTTATATGGCACCCAAAAAGGTCAAGAATAAAATGAAAAGTACTTCAAGATAGAAAAGATAAAGGGGGAATAGACGTTCCTAATTGGGAATTATACTATCAAGCGGCGTCTTTAGTTTGGATAAAAGATTGGATTACTTTGGAAGATGCTAGAATTTTTGCACTAGAAGGTCATGATCTTCACATGGGTTGGCACTCTTATGTATGGTATGAAAAAGAGAAAATACATTCGTACTTTAATCGTCATATACTAAGAGGAGCCTTAAATAAAAATTTGGAAGGATATAAAAGAGAGATTTTATAGGAAAACACTGAGGTGGGTCTCTCCTTTAGAGGCATTTATAAAACCTTCACTTATGTCTATGAGCAAAAAAGTAAGCTATCAAATATTGCTTGAAAGAAATGACAAATTAAAAACAGAAGAGAAATTATTACATGAGTACCAAATTAGTTTATCATGGTGGGAACGCACAGTATTGCAAGATAGGTATGGTAAAGATATGTTAAGAGGTTTTGAGGATGGGAATAACCAATTTAAGATTTGGCTGTCATCAAGTGATAAATTAATTCAGAAACTCTATAGATTTTTATTGGAGGTCTATGAGTATGATGAAACTATTAAGACTACAATTATTTCATGGATGAAAGACATGGGGAAAAATATAGAAATAGAACAATGGACCAAAATATGGAAATCTGTAAAATATATGAAAGCGGTATCGTATAAGGAAAAAATATATAAAATGTTCCACCAGTGGTATTGGTCCCCGGAAAAAATAGCAAAGTGTTATACTAATACATCCGATTTATGTTGGAAATGTAAAACGAATGTAGGGACCTTTTACCACATGTGGTGGAAATGTAGCAAAATACAAAAATACTGGAAAATGGTACACAAAATAATTCTAGAAATTCTGAATGTAGATGTTTTGTTAACACCTGAGGTATATTTAATTCCAAATGGCTATTAAGTTGTTGTTGCTGTTGTTGTTGTTGTTGTTCAGTCGCACAGTCGAGTCCGACTCTTTGCAACCCCACGGACCAGATCACGCCAGGCCTTCCTGTCTTCCGCCATCCTATGAAGTTTGCTCTCTTTTTTTGCTATTTTTGTTTTTGCTATTAAGTACATGATGTATATTTAATAACATGTGTCATAACGGCTGCTCGAATATTGTTGGCAAAAACCTGGAAACTAGATAAAATACCCTCAAAGAGGACTTAATACTTAAATGGTTAGAACGAACTTGCACAAATGGATAACTTGAGTTTATTGCTTCAAGATAAAGATAAGAAAATACAAAATATAAGATGGTCAAGAGTCTACAACTGGATACAGCATGTAATAGATCTATAGACTCTTTATTTTATGTAATCTAAAAGCTTGGAAAGTTTGCTTTCTTTTTGAAAATGTGAAAAATAAACATGTTAGAGTTCATTGTATTTGCTTCTACAACGGGCTTTCCTACTAGTAAGAACATAAAACAGGAAGAAACAAAACACAGAGATGAAAAATACCACACAAAGGAAAACCAGAAAAACTGGATTGAGTACCAGCTCTGCTGGTTACCAGCTTCTCCTTAAAGAGAAAAACAGAACACAACACCAAGGATATACAGCTCCTGAATATTCTGTGCACTTTCAAAAAAAGGTGTTAGTGTAGGGTGCATATATTTTTGAAAAATTAAGCTATAATTAGAAGTTAATCAAGTAGTAAAATGAACGGGTATTACTCAGGCCAAACTAAATATCATTAAGCAGACAGATGCAGAAGTCTCTCCCAAAGTTGGCTGGGGTTTTAAATGAAAAGCAGCTGTGGTGGAATGGGGAGGGAGGCACTATATCCCACAACCTGCAGTTACAACAAAGCTCACAAAATGGGACCTTCTGGCCTCAGCATACTAAACTGACTCAAATTCTGTTCCTAGGATCAGAGGAATCTCAAGGACTCTAACCTTAACTCCTCAACCTCCCTTTATGACATTTTATTTAGCGGTATCATTCCAACCTCTAATCATGCAGACATGTTAGCTTCTAGATTGCAGAAGCCATCAGTGATGGTTGCATTTAGGAGGATTAGGCCTAAATCTCAGGGTTTATAATCTTGGTGGGGGGTGGGGAATCATGTTCTCAGCATACAGCTAAACTGTAGCAGTATTTTAGCACAGACATGCTGTACTGCATCCTATGAATAACTGTTTCCCATACTGCTTGTTTAGGATGTGGCTAGACAAGAGACAACTCAGGGCAACATTAGCCTGTGTTTTTTCCCCCTGCTGTCAACAACCAGAGATCCAAGGCAATCAAACATATGGCACAATGTCATCACCATATTATGCAGAAAGCAGATATTACTGGGGAGAGGAGATGTACAGTGGAGGCACCAGCTCTGTATCTCTTGCAATGCATAGTGAAATCTAAAGACAGCTCGAGATCTATTCATGTAGATTGCATCTGAATCTTATTTCAATGCAGAGAGAGTGTCAGCTATGCTGCCACAGCAGGTGGAAGGGGGGGGGAGGCTGATGTAATGTCTGTTGTTGTGCTGGAATCTTAACTTTAATTTTTCCTCACCTCATCTTATCTGCTAGTGTATGCCTGTGACCTTGGTACCATGCTGGTGGTGCTTTCTCTGGGAACGTAGACCTGTTAGCTTAGGCAGGCTCCAGCCTAATCCCTGATTGGCTCAGACCCATCAGGGAACCCTATTTTGAAGTGTGTGTATCTTCTTCTTTCACGGGCTTGTAGTTAGTTCTGACACAGAATGTATGCACAGATGAACTGCCTTTACTGTACTCAATAAACTTGAATCTTCTGAAGGAACGTTGTTGAGAACTGATTGCTGCAGGACTCTGACAGAGAGTTACAAATATTTACCTTCATGTTTGCATGAACAGCACCTTAGCTCAGACATTCTCTTTCAGACAGATATGTAGTCTTTGCATATTACATTTTTCTCCTTTTTATTAGCAGAAAAAATTAAATGGGAATATTTTCTAGCACCACATTATTTGGCAGATCTGCAACATTGTCAATCCTACATTATTTATTCAAAAAAGAATGCAGGTTTCAAGTAGCTTAACTTACAGTTATGGTGCACAACAACTGAAGCATCAAGATGTCCATAAGAGAAGTCATAATGGCAACAGCAAGATGCAAATGGCACTCTTCTAGCATTGTTTAAAAACAGCAGCAAGAGGGGGGAGATATAAAATCAGGCATATCCTGTCTCAACCATCCATCTGAAAACAACATTCAGGAGCAAGGTTAGACAAGGAATTAAATGGCTGTGGACCACTACACTGTACAAGTTTAATGTTAAGAAATCATGACAGAGACTGGAAAAAATAGAAAAAAGACTGAAATGCTCTAATAAATCTTACAGGTATGCATGAAACCTCAAAAGCAATGCACTACCCACATGGCTGTTGTCACACTGAAATCTAGTTGCCAACCTCTAGACATGCAGCATTAGCACTCTATGATAGTGCTCACATGGGATCCTGGCCATGTGCAAACCGATGCATGGATAAGGACACCCTGAACCACGCCCGTCGGGTCTTACACATGTTTATTTTATTCGATTTATATCCCACCCTCCCTGCATAGCAGGCTCAGGGCGGGTTCCAGTCATACAGATCTGTAGTACTGCAGATTTACAATTAAAACAAATTATTAATAAATTAATTAAATTCACGAAAATCAATAAAACAGTAAAACATAGAGTGTGCCTCAACAGATAGTATTAATTCTGGCAATGTTATGGTTTCAGTGAATGAATGAATGAATTTATTGTAACAGCGATTAGCCAGCAATAATTATGGTTTCAGTCAGCTTCTAGGACCTGCAGTCACTGAAGGGGGGGGGGCAGATCGAAAGGGATGCCCACTGCCTCAACTGAAAGCCTGGTGGAAGACCTCCATCCACAGGGCCCTGATCTCATAAGGTGGCTCATTCCAGCAGGTGCAGGCCAGGGCCAAAAAAGCCCTGGTCCTAGCTGAGGTGAGTCGGACATCCCTAGGGTCAGGGACTACCAGGAGATACTGGTTTGTAGAATGCAATGTTCTGTGGGGCTCATACGGGGAAAGGCAGTCTGGAAGATATGCAGGCCCCTGGCCATATAGGGCTTTAAAGGTAAGCACCAGCACCTTGAAACGGATCCAGTATTTGATAGGCAGCCAGTGTTCATGCAGCACTGGGCAGATGCGTGCCCGCACAGGCAACAACATCAACACCCACGCTGCAGTGTGTTCTGCACTGGCTGCAACTTCTGAAGCAGAGTCAAGGGCAGCCCCACATATTATATAATAATCTAGTCTGGAAGTAACTGTTGCATGGGTAACCGCAGCCAGGTTTGTGGGGGGGAGGTATGGGGTCAACTGCCTGATCTGCCTCAGATGAAAAAATGCAGACCTGGCAGTGGCGGTTACCTGGGCCTCCATAGTCAGCGAGGCATCCAGGACACCCCTAGGCTCTTTACCTTTGGCACTAGCACCAATGGATCCCTGTAAAAAGCTGGGAGCCCGATACTCAATCCCTGTCCCCCACGACCCAGGGGCAGGACCTCCATCTTCGATGGATTCAATTTCAGTCTGCTCTGCTATAACCATCCAGCCACAGCTTGTAACACCCTGTCCAGATGTTCAGGGGCAGAATTTGGGTGGCCATCCATCAGTAGATAGAGCTGGGTGTCATCTGCATACTGGTGACAACCCAGACCATACCACCAGATAACCTGGGCAAGGGGGCGCATTTAGATGTTGAGTAACATTGGGGAGAGAATCACTACCTGCGCAACCCCACATTCAAGTGAGCGCTGCTAAGACAACTCCCCCCAAGTGCCACCCTCTACCCCCGACCTTGCAGAAAGAAGGCCAGCCACTGTAAGGCTAGTCCCCATATCCCCACATCGGCGAGGCTGTGGGTCAACAAATTATGGTTGACCATATTGAACTATTGAGCCGTTGAGCAGAAAACCACCTAGTATGATCATCGAGCAGCTGTTATAAGAGCCGACGAGCAGAACTATTGTGTTTTAACTATGTATGTTTTATTCTGTATTTATGTGACTTGGAAGCTGCCCTGAGCCTGCTCTGCGGGGAGGGTGGGGTACAAATCTGACAATAAATAAATAAATAAATAAATAAAATAAACACCACTGACAGATCAAGAAGAATCAGCAGCACCAAACCGCCTCAATCAGATGCCTCCTGAGGTCATCCATCAAGGCAACCAACACCAACAGGGCAAAAACCAGACTGGAAGGGATTCAGGATGTTAGCATCCTCCAAGAAAGCCTGGAGATGTGTTGCCACCACCCTCTCCACTACCTTAACCCAGAAATGGTAAGTTAGATACTGGGCAGTAGTTATTAAGGACCATGGGGTCCAAAGATTTTTTTTAGAAGCAGGTGGACCACTGCTTCCTTCAATCTCCCTGGGAAGGTCCCCATTGACAGGGACAAGTTGACAATCTCCCTCAGGGGAGTCCCTACCTCATGGAAGTCCTTATGATCTGTCCATACTTCAAATGGAACACACGCCCTTTCTAGCCAATGGCGCCACGTAGTGAGCACCAACTTAACGGCTGCCGCCTCCTTATTCCAAACTGCCCAATTCCTCTCGGCTCTGGAGAACGTTCTGGACACATAAGCTAGGGGGTGCAACTTGCTGTCATCACCCCTCTGCAAGATGGCCCCCCCATCGCCACATTCAACGCATCAACTTGTAAAATGAAGCCCTTGTTCTCGTTCGGGTGATGCAAAATAGTAAATAACAGTTTCAAGCGTAAATAACAGTTTCCTAACATAAATAACAGTTTCAAGCCCTCGAATGCTTGTTGGCACTCAGGAGTCCACATCAGTTTACTCCCTCCTTTGCGAGCATCTGGACCCTTCCTTTTAGTCTTTAGCAAGTCAGTCAGGGCCGGGTAAGAACACTTGTGCAAAATTGGGGATTAAAGCACGATAAAAATTCACAAATCCTAAGAAACTTGGAGCTGACGCCATGTTTGGGGGGCCTCCCACCCCAGGACATCTTGGACCTTTTTTGGGGTCCATTCCTAGTCCCTGTTGGGTGATTCGATACCCTAAAAAGTCAATCTCAGACTGATGGAATTCACGTTTAGATAGCTTGGTGTACAAATGGTTATTGTAGAGTACAGTTAATACCTCACGTACCAATCTCACATGAGAATCCATGTGTTGCGTGTACACCAACACATCATCGAAATAAACAACCACTCCTTTGAACAGGTATTTATGCAGCCCTTTACCAAGGGTGCTCCTGTAGTTGCTTTCAGGATAGACTCCCTCACATGCCTCTTTGAGAATCTGACCACTATTTCCCAAGGCAGATTATTCTTCTTGATGTACACGGAACAGGACCTGTAGACCACATCCATTTCTCTTGCAAGATATTCCAATTTCAAATCTATAACTGGGGCTAATACTTTACTCAAGAGTGGATTTAGATTCTTGCCTTTTAATTCTGGGACCCCTTGAAACCGGAGGACCAAATTTGCTTTCTCCATTTGCAGCTGTAAAAGTTGTGATTCTTCCGAAGCGTGTTTCTTTTCCAGCTTTTGCACCTTTTTCTTGACTTTTTTAGTGTTGGCGTCCATTTCCTTCACCTTCTCAGCCGTTTGCTCTGTTATTTTTAAAGTCTCAGTCGGAGCTGCTGAGTTGCAAGGTTCTGATTTAGAGTTGTCAGCTGTTGTTTGATGTTAGTCATCTGGTCCAGCAGAGGATGCAAGGAATCTGCCAACATTTTGGATAACTCAGTGACCTCTTCCGGTCGAGGGCTCATGTTCCCCGCTGGTTTCACTTTTGCTAGTTTATCTTTCTCTGCCCTCTTCCCCGCCATCTTTATGGATTGTTTACTTTTATGAAAACTTGCTAAAGTCTCTGAAATTCGCCCATATACTTATCTGCGCTCTGGTAAGCCTCTCAAAACAGATTTCAATGCTTTTTCTTCCGCTCCCCCCTTAGTGTTTCGTTATTTAGTTCATGCGCATGGGAGGGCCCCTCCCCCGCTGGCTTTTCTCGCCATTCCCGGGGGGTAGCTTTCTTTTTAAATTCTCGTATTCTCTTTAACCCGACTCACTGTTCATTGTTGGTAATACGACCTCACTCGGAACACATTCAAAACGTTCGATCGCTGACGCGTGTCTCGGTCAGCGGCTCTAGATCCATATGGACACTCAGCGGCAGGACCGTCAGGGCAGAGGAGCGCCTCAATTCCCCAGCATTGCGCTGGCGAAAAGGTTGTCCCTCAAAAGCCCCATGGCTAGGAGCCTTTTGCCAAGGCTCCGGGGGGGGTGGCGACCCATCACGCGCCCCCCATCCGCTGGTGCACAGATCACATCCCCGGGAGGTCCACCAGTGTGTCGCCATAAACCGGAAGTCTCTGAACTTGGGAACTTCTGAATGCTGCAGTGCCTCCCCTTTATTCTGCATCACTTGGGAGTTGGCCATGTCACTGTTCATGTTCCTTGCATCTTCATTTGAATGTGCATTCACCAGTGACATTTACATTCAAATCATCTTATTCTGTCATAAGTACAGTTTACTTTATTAACATATTTATATCCTGCCTTTCCTTATGGCTCGATGCAGCGGACACATCAAAGCCCTAAGCCAACAGGAAAAAAAGCTCTAGATATCCCCTTTTCCCTAAAAGATCCCAAGAGTTTATACTCCATTAAAAGCCCTGTTGAATAAAATGACTTTGCAGGACTCCAGAGCAGAAACACTTGAGTCCAAAGGCCCTATACAAGGGATCCAGCTGCTCCCATCATCTAATGATACAACTGGTAAATACCTAGCAGAGCAGCTACCAAGGATGCCATCAATTGGACTCAGCTGTACTTTAAGTTGGACTTATCTGCCCTCACAATTAATGTAGTAAAGAGTTCCATACCCACAAGCTAACAGGAGCCACTGAGAACAGCCACAAGCAAATGAGCAACAGCGAGGAGCTGCCCACTTTAAGGCAGTGGTGTTCAGGGAAACGGAAGAGAAACCACACTGGTTGTCCTTCCCAAGCCTCCCCCATCTCAAGATGGCTCTGGCCAAATTAGAGCTTTCCCCCTATTCTTTGGAAAGATGTTTGACTTTTGAGTCACTGGATGGAGTTTTGGAAAACACACAAATGCCATATGACCAGGAGTGAAGCATTCCCTGATATCTTTAGCACTGAATGGAGGGAGGGGGTGATATTGTGTGTGTAGGTATGTGTTCATT